TCTGCTTGACCGGGCCCTGCTGTCCCTCTGTGGCTTCATTTGGGAGACGAGTTCATGGGACACTGGAGGTGGTCTTTAAAAGGAAGATACAATATAATTTAAAAATAATGTATTTTGGAGATTTAGTTTTATTGCACCTTTCTAAAGCAGATTTATACTTCATGAGAGTTTTACTGGTGGCTGCCAAAACAGGAATAACTTGAAAATGTCTTAGACAGGAAACACCTACAATAAATGAATGGACTGATTTGATCTATACTTTTTTTTAAAAAGGAAAGGATTACATTTAAAATGAAGCTACAGAGTGAGATATATTTGAAAACTATTGGTCAAAATGGTTGAGGTATGTAACGACAAAAAGACCCGACTTTGTATGACGTAGTTAAGTCTTTATATCTGCCCCCACTGTCTTGTTTTGTTTTGTTCTTTCTGTTTGAATGTTGTCGATTTTTAATGTGTGTCTTTATACAAGATGAAAATCCAATAAAAAGTGAATGACAAAAAATAAAAAGGAAAGATTAGCATTTCTACAACTCTTAAAATACTCATGTATAAATATATCATTAAATTCATATAAATTGCAAAAATTTAATCTATATTTGGTACTTTTTTGGTTTAAAGACTTGAAATGACTTGAAGCTCAAAGCAGGCGACATGGACTTGACTTGGACTTATGGGTCGGTGACTCTAGACTCGACTTGGACTTGACTTGGGCTTGGACTCAGACTTGAGACTTACTTGGGATTTGCAAAACAAAGACTTGGTTGCACCTTTGCCTCGAGGGCAAAACTGCACCGGCCAAACTTCCAATTAGAACAGAAAGGAGGAGCTCGGTGCCTTTTTCCTCTGAGCGTCTTTACAGGACACAGAGCTCCACGGTAAAGCTGTTGTCGTTGCGCCCCCTGGAGGTCAGAGGAAAGAGTGCAAGAGAGAAACTGCAGTAAAAGCACAGGCAAACTCTTATAGGCGAGTTTCATTGTTGACAAAAGCGTGCGTTGCATGCTGGGAATTATTTTGGTCAGTGGCAAGAAACACTAATTCAACATGACGGACGGAGCGAGAAAGCACGTAAAGGGTATTGATCCCGGTTATTTATCCACTCTAACGGCAGAGGACCCAAGACCATTTGACCAGAAATTGGTCATAAACATCGACAAACGACAAATCACCCTTTTCAACCCGACAAAAGGTGGAACAAACCAAATTTCTGGTCAGAATCACCAACTACCTGGACAAATATTCACTTGGGCGATATCCACAATGACTTGGTGGAAACTCCTGGGCCATTCACAGCAGAAAAGATGAAAACCTCCAAGAGTCTCGATGTGTTGTTGAACTTGTTGGAGTCCACGGTTTGTTAGGATCTTCTACGTTTGCTCTGCGGATGTTTGAAAGTCGTTTAATTCACCGTTAGTGGTTCTTTTCACTCAGAATATGAAAAAGACATTTTCCTTCTTCCGTGTTTCTATTTGTGCGTCTGATAATGCAGCAGGAATTTACCATTATCAGGGGTAAATACTCGAGGTTACACACTGTGTTTGACGCTACCGTGTTTCTTGCCTCCGACCAAAATATTTCCCAGCAGCAACACGGGCTTTTAATAACAATGAAACTCGCTTATTTCTCGTCCCTGATTGTGCCCAAGTCGCCCGCTGGATCAGGACGGCGCCTGCTGAGACTCCCTGCCACCTTTTATCTTTGAAATATTTTAACCATTGTGGCCACTTTATCATTTTATCTGTGGGTTTTTCATTTGTTTTAAACTTTTGTTATTAATAAATTATTGTTTTTTTTTTTTGTCTTTTTAACAGTTCACCTCTTTTTTGGTCACACCTCGTCGCTCTCACTGTTAATTTAACAGTTTCATTATATTTTAAGTCGACTTTTTCCACCACATACATTTATTTTAATAATCCACAAACCGTGACTTGGACTAGAGTCAGACTTGAGTCACTATTTTTAGGCCTTGAGACTTGACTTGATAAAATGGACTAAGACTCGGGACTTGACTCGGACTTGAGAAGCACTTTTAAATCTTAATTATTTCTATTCAGACCGTAATGATTCACGCCAAGATCTTAACAAAAGTGAAAAAATGCACAGCACATTCAAATGGCTGATGTCCAAACGCTTATTTAATTTTAAAATAACGTTTCGGCAAAAAAAAAAAAAAAAAAGTCTTTGTCTGATATTTTTCTTGCTTTGCTGTGGTTAAAGAAATGAATAAAAGGAGAAAGGACAGGCATCTTTATTTTTTATTTTTTTATTATATGTCAAAATTTAACCAAAAATATAAAATGTGTGCAAATAAATTAATGGAAATAAAATGTAGTGTAACATCAGAATAAGTGGAGCAGTGTTAATTCTTTACGTATTTGTCTGAACACAATTTGGCAATAGTTAAATAAATAATGTAACGGTACAATAAAATATCGTCAATAATTAAGATGTTCGAATAACTTTGTCTCTTCACATCTCCGAAGCTCACGATGCCCCGTTCCACCTTGTGATGTCACAAAGCTGGAGTTTTCAAGTTAACGGCTTCATTTTACCAGCATTACCGCATGACATCACAAGGTGGAGCAGAGCGTTTTCAGTTTGAGGGAAGAACTTATGTGAATGAAACAAAACACAACTCCAGGTCTGTTTGTGATGAGGAAACATTAGAACATAAATATGAAAATAGCTTAATATGGATCTGTTAACATCAGCAACACATCATCTCCTGCCTCCGTCTGCGCAGCGCAGGTGAGTCTGGTCCTCTCTGCGTCTGCGTGAGTCTGCGGGTGAGTCTGGTCCGTCTGCGCGGGTGAGTCTGGGTCCGTCTGCGCGGTGAGTCTGGGTCCGTCTGCGGGGTGAGTCTGGGTCCGTCTGCGCGGGTGAGTCTGGGTCCGTCTGCGCGGGTGAGTCTGGGTCCGTCTGCGCGGGTGAGTCTGGGTCCGTCTGCGCGGGTGAGTCTGGGTCCGTCTGCGCAGGTGAGTCTGGTCCGTCTGCGCAGGTGAGTCTGGGTCCGTCTGCGCAGGTTGATTGATTGATTGATTGCATTTATGTAGCGCCTTTCAAGATCCCAAAGCACTTTACAGTTCATATTCAGTCACTCCACACTCAGTGGTGTAAACTACTACTGTAGCCACAGCTGCCCTGGGGCAGACTGACGGAAGCGAGGCTGCCAATCTGCGCCATCGGCCCCTCTGACCACCACCATCACTCACGCTCACACCACTTTCATACCAGGTAATGTGGGTGAAGTGTCTTGCCTAAGGACACAACAACAGTTTTTTGCCACTGGCTCCACTGTGGCTCCTGTTGTTCCCAGTGTCTCCATCCAAGTCCTGCCCAGGCCCAGACCTGCTGAGCTTCTGAGATCTGACAGGATCAGGCTTTGAAAAGCTGGTATGGCCACCAGGTGAGTCTGGATTTTGAGTCTGACTGTGCAGGTGAGTCCAGAGTAGGGATGGGCATGATTAATCGATTAATCGATAATTGATCATTAAGAATTTCATCGATTACATAAATTTTAATTGTCAAACTGAATGTATGTTGCTGTGTGTGTCGTGACCAAACAGGTGTGTACATGTGTCTCTGCATCAGAAGGAGCGAGACACAAACAGTGGGTCAGTCTGTAACGAACCGAAGCACAAATGTGGATTTAACCAGGATTTGTACAAGAAATTCCACACTTTCTGTTGCGTTGGGACAAGTGTGAGTCCATGTGCACAGTGTATAAAGCAGCACATATGTTTCTGTGTCCAGTGGGAAAAAGTTTTGTCAGGTGAGAATCGAAGACGAGGCCCCGCCCCCCTCCCCCCGTACGCTGTCCTGGTTTTGACAAACACAAATCTGGTCACACTGACCTGTATTCACCTGAGTCATGTCTTTTAATCCAACACAAGTTGAACCACATCAGCGACACAAGAGCTGGAGTTTTATCTTCACTTAGTTTATGTAAATTAGTGATGTGGTTTTAAGTTTTGTTTCTGTGAGATTTGAACAAAACTGAATTAAACACATTATAATGTCAAACAGCTGATGTGGCTCTAGAGTCGTTATGTTTATATGTCGTAAAGTTGAATTTATTTATGCAGATTAGTGCAGATAGTAATAATAATGATGATCATTTTAATATAAAAACGTTAATGATTAATCGATAATCGATCGTTAATTCTTCTGACGATCGATTAAGAAAATTTCTTTGAATGCCCGTCCCTAGTCTAGAGTCTGTCTGCGCAGGTGAGTCTGGGTCTGCGCAGGTGAGTCTGGGTCTGCGCAGGTGAGTCTGGTTCTGTCTGCGCAGGTGAGTCCGGGTCTGCGCAGGTGAGTCTGGTTCTGTCTGCGCAGGTGAGTCCGGGTCTGCGCAGGTGAGTCTGGTTCTGTCTGGTGAGTCTGGGTCTGCGCAGGTGAGTCTGCGCAGGTGAGTCCGGGTCTGCGCAGGTGAGTCCGGGTCTGCGCAGGTGAGTCCGGGTCTGCGCAGGTGAGTCTGGTTCTGTCTGCGCCGCGTTCTCCATGGAGATGTCATTGCTTTGTATGAAATGTTTCACAGGATGACATTAAAACTTTCTATCTCCATGGAGACCAAACCAAAACCAACCAAACCAGGTCAGATCTGTGGAGAGGCGACCCCGCTCACAGTCACAATATCTGTTTTTCTAGGTATTTTTGAGCTATAAAACCACCTGTAATTGAATAAATGTAAAGTAAAAGCTGTTTAATGTCACACTGTGGAACATCTCCATGGAGAAAAACATTTGGGCAACACTTTTGTCAGTCCAAGTAGAGTGTAGCGATACGGAAAAGCCGGCCCTCGTGAGCGTGAGATCACGTTCTCTGAACACCAGCAGTTTCACAGTTCTATTGCTTCTCAGTTTCAGGTGAAGTGAACACTGTGTGAACCAAAGCCTTCAAATAAATTAAATTAAAAAATAAAAATACACATATAAAAATTACATTCATGATGCTTGTCAGTAAAATCCCACATAAATACTTTTCCAAATGTTAGAGTCTTAGTTAGGTTTCTGTGCTTCCTTCGGGGGGGTTCTGTTCTTCCTTCGAGGGGTTCTGTGCTTCTTCCTTCGGGGGTTCTGTTGCTTCCTTCGAGGGGTTCTGTGCTTCCTTCGGGGGTTCTGTGCTTCTTCTTCCTTCGAGGGGTTCTGTTCTTCCTTCGAGGGGTTCTGTTCTTCCTTCGGAGGGGTTCTGTGTTCTTCCTTCGAGGGTTTCTGTGTCGTTTTGGGCTCTCGCGGTTCTCCCAGGTACAGGTTAATGATGCCCAGGTCGTGTAGTCTCCTCCACAGCTTCCTCTCCATGTCGTAGTCGTGGTTTGTGAAGAAGACCATGTCAGTCTTGGCTTCGCGCTCGTAGTAGTAGGTGGAGTATTTGCTGTAGTCGTCTGTTACAAATCCGTACGCATTCACCTGAAAAGAAAGATGAACAACCAAAACGTTTTTTTAAATTCAACATACTGAATCAGGAACGACAAAAACACACAATCAGCACAAACAATATTCATAAAAACATAAAAAACAGAGGAGACTGATAATGACCATGTTTATATGATCTTTTTAAATTCTGAATTAATTGTTCAGAATTAAAGGTTTACGTGGAAAACTCGTTAAATCGTCTTTATTTAATTCCGCTCAGCGTCTGGGGGTGAGGAAGTTTCTGATTGGACAGAGACACGAACGTATTTACGTCGACCAGAAGAAAACACACACTTCAGCTGCTACCGGCTTTTCTCTCATCTCGGTTTGTCGTTACTAGTGATGTCGAGATGAAGCCCCACGAAGCACTGAAGCCTTCCAGCCGTTTGCTCGACTTTTGAGCCGATGCTTCAAGGTGCTTCATTTGCTCCACTGCACCATCAAGACGCCAAAAAAATGTATAACAGGCAGAGTGAAAATAGAACAACAACATGATCATTGTGGTTCTGATGGAAAGATTTATACTAAATAAATGAACGATTAAATATTTGAATGTTTCTGATTTCAACATAAAGTGTGAGTGTATTAAACTGGAGTCTGTGTTCATGATATGAAGGTCGGGTTAAAAGAAAAAGTACGAACAAATTACTACTACAATTAGTTACTTCTTTATGTCTGTGCTTATGCCACAATATGGACGGCAAAATAGGGTCATTTTATTCATTTTTATATAAAAATATCAATTTCTCCACAGTATTTGGACTCAGACGGTTTCTTTTTTACAGAGAATTTCCCCTGCTTTTGAAAAGAAAACCTTTCACAGCGCACAGATGAAACAGGCGTGCAGAGAAAAGCCACTTCCTGCTTAAATCTTAAATAGATTCTACCTCACAATAACCCAAACCACAAAATGTTTTGGGGGAATCCGTTGCGTTTCTTTGGCCCTTATGTTTCGAATCGCGCCAAATCCGCGAACCACTTCCTGAAGCAGTCACGTGGTACGAGTGGTTCACGAGGCTTCGAACGTCACCTCATATGTCACAGATTCAAACCTCGATCATGGATCTATTAAAATAACTGGATACAGTATTTCTGCTTGTAGCTGCCTCGAGTTGACGTAGTGACACTCACTGGTTCTACAGTGGAAAAAATCCCATGGGCCGAGAGAAGATTTTTTACATAGAGGCGATGTGATCACAAACTGCTCGTGTTTGTCTGACAGGGACCTACAACTTTCAAAAATGTCAGATTTTGTAGCAATTTTTACTTATTTTTAGATCATACACTTTTTCTCTGCTCAAAATCCTTCAGTTGTCTTAAAAAATTCTTTATATTCGTTTGCTCCGGCTCCGCTCTGGCTCCTCTCGCTCCGATTGGTCAAAGCGATCACGTGATACACGAGCCCGCGCTCCGTGCGTGCGTTCACGTGCATTTGCGTGTGCCCACGGGAGAAAAGACTCTACTGCACATGCTCGGTCGGCCCACAGACACCGGAAGAACCTCGCTGGGCTAAAGATGAATCTGGAATCATGCTCCATTGAGCTCTGCCCATTGACTTGAACAGACGGCCACTTTGGAACCTGGGGGTTTGGCCTCAATACGCGCTTCACCAAAGACTTCCTGGATTTACTCGACACACGTTTTCGAAGCCTCGACAGATCTCGTAACATCACTAGTCGTTACGCCACGGACACAAACACGATCCAGACTTTTTTTTTTGTCATTATCATTGTTCTGATGATAATTGCGAAGCAGCTGGAGGATTCTCTCATCACACCTTACGTCTGTCGGCTGATGAGGAGAAGGAGGAAGAAGACAAAGTGAGTGTGAGGCTGCTCGACCTCAGCCCACCCCCACATCCCGCTCACCAATCCAAAGAGACGTGGATCAAAGTCCCAAGACAGGACTGGTGGAGCCGGATCGAAGGGCGACACAACGAGCAAGAACCACCGGGATTATTTTTAACAAGAATAAACGTGAAACATGATCCAGGAAGAAATTAATTCGGCTTTAAAATCTGGAATAAACCACACACTTACTTCGAATCATTTTCATTAAGTGTTTACGTGGTCTTTTTAAAACGAGATTAATTTTTATTCCGAGTTAAATTATTTTCATTCTGAATTAAAGCTCTCATGTAAATGTGGGAGCTGATAAATTATAGATATTATACATGAATTAAAGCTGCATTGTGTAACTTTTCTGGTGGAGGGTCCGTCAAACGCTTTTCTTCACGGTGATGTTAATGCTTTTTTTCGAGGCATTTGTGAGCAATAAAATCACCTGTGATTGAATAAATGTGAAGTCGAGCTGTTTAAAGTCACGCCGTGGAACATTCCAGGCAGAGCGACGACGTATCCATAGAAACGAGCAGGTGACGGAGCCCAGACCGAAAAGTGACACGGCGCACGTTTACATTTTGTGTCATTTTGGAGCGTGTACCTTGTCGCAGAGCTGCAGAGCCAGGAACATCGTGAAGGCTCCGTTTGTGGGTCTGAAGATCGACCAGTCTATTGTGTCCAGGGTCTCGGACTTCAGGAACCTGAGGGCCAGAGATCACGGGTCAGAGGTCAGAGGTCAGAGGTGACAGGTCAGACTCTGTTTTGAGTTTTACAGAAATAATCAGTGACCTGTTTTTGACGTGTCTCAGGAAATCCATGTGCAGAACGTAGAAGCGCGACTCGTTGAACCGACCCGAGTAGTACGTCCAGGGCCTGAAACAGAGACCAGGACTGAACCAGGACTGAACCAGGACTGAACCAGGTCTAAACCAGGTCTAAACCAGGACTAAAACAGGACTAAAGCAGGTCTAAACCAGAACTGACCCAAGACTAAACCAGGACTGAACCAGGACTAAACCAGGACTGAACCAGGTCTAAATCAGAACTTACCCAGGACTAAACCAGGACTAAACCAGGTCTAAATCAGAACTTACCCAGGACTAAACCAGGACTAAATCAGGACTAAATCAGGACCAAACCATGACTAAACAAGATCTAAACCAGGACTAAATCAGGACTGAACCAGGACTGAACCAATGACTGAACCAGGACTAAACCAGGACTAAACCAGGACTGAACCAGGACTAAACCAGCTCTTTTCTCTTTACTCCAGTCGAGACTGACATTCCCAGCGCTGAAATTACCGTGTCTTTCGGACTATGAGATGTTTAATTTCCTCAGAGGAGGACAGTGCGTCTGTGCGTCTGCCGATCGCTCTGTGACTCACCGGGATCCGTCAAATAGATCGAAGGAAGAGTTTGTGATTCTCTGTCGTTTGTAAAGTCCAACCAGCCAGTCCATGTCCCTCATGCCCTCGGGGATCAGCACGTACTTTATACCCTGAAACGACAAGAGAGCATAGAACCAGGACCGGACCAGGACCAGTACTGGACCAGGACCAGTACTGGACCAGGACCAGTACTGGACCAGGACCGGACCAGGACCTGACCAGGACCAGTACTGGACCAGGACCGGACCAGGACCAGTACTGGACCAGGACCGGACCAGGACCAGTACTGAACCAGGACCGGACCAGGACCAGGACCGGACCAGGACCGGACCAGGACCAGTACTGAACCAGGACTGGACCAGGACTGGACCAGGACCAGTACTGGACCAGGACTGGACCAGGGCCTGACCAGTACTAGACCAGGACTAAACCAGGACTAAACCAGTACTAGACCAGGACTAAACCAGGACTAAACCAGGACTAAATCAGGACTCTACCAGGACTCGACCAGGACTCGACCAGGACTAGACCAGGACTAGACCAGGACTCGACCAGGACTAGACCAGGACTGAAAAAAGATTAAACCAGGACAGAACAAGAACTAAACGTGGTCTAAACCAGCACTGACTAAACAAGACTAGGACAAGACTAGGAATAAACCATGACTAGAACGGAACCAAGACTAAATCCAAGACTAAACCAGAACTAAACCAAGCCAGGACTGGACCAAGACTAAATTCTGAAGTATTATGAAGTTTTTTTTCTTGATCGGGTTAACAATGACAATCTCAAACAGGGTTTACAACTAAAGTGGGTCTTAACCAGGACTAAACCAGGACTAAACCAGGACTAAACCAGGACTGGACCAGGACTGGACCAGGACTGGACCAGGACTGGACTCTGATTAAGACCAGGACCTGATTAAACCAGGATAGAACAAGGACTAACTGAGGTCTAAACCAACACTGACTGAGGACTAAACAAGACTAGGACTAGACTAAGATTAGACCATGACTAGAACAAAACCAAGACTAAATCCAGCACTAAACCAGGTCTGAACCAGGACTAAACCAAGCCGGGACTAGACCAAAACTAAAACATTATTATGAAGTTTGTGTTTTCTTGGTCGGGTTAATGACGACAATCTAAACCAGGGTTTACGACTAAAGTGGGTCTTAACCAGGACTAGACCAGGACTAGACCCAGGACTAAACCAAGACTAAACCTGGGACTGGGCCAAGACTAGACCAGGACCGAATTAAGATTAAACCAGGACAGAACAAGGACTCACCCAGGACTAAACGAGGTCTAAACCAACACTGACTAAGGACTAAACAAGACCAGGACTAGACTAGGATTAGACCACGACTGGAACGGAACCAAGACTAAATCCAGCACTAAACCAGGACTAAACCCAGGACTAAACCCAGGACTAAACCAGGACTAAACCAGGACTAAACCCAGGACTAAAATCAGGACTAAACCAGGACTGAACCCGGACATTATTACGAAGTTTGTTTTCTTGGTCGGGTTAATGACGACAATCTAAACCAGGGTTTACGACTAAAGTGGGTCTTGACCAGGACTAGACCAGGACTAGACCAGGACTAGACCAGGACTAGACCAGGACTAGACCAGCCGCACCTGATCATGTGGAGCTGCTGTGTACTTGTACTGCTTGAGGTTAAATTCAGACGCGAAGATGGAGAAAGACGTGTGAACGTAGACGTCCGTCCTTCTGCCCACGTCCTCCTCGAAGCCTCTGATCACCGCCCCGTTCACCCTGGAGACCAAAACAAAACAAAAAACACCATTAAACGGACCGAGTGACGCTTTGTTCTGATCTGTGTTCCCGTGTCGTTTCCTCGTCACAAACGGACCGGGAGTTGAGTTTTGTTTCATTCTCACGTGTTTAACGCACAAACCTGCAGATTAAGGCTGAGTTCTGTTGACGTGGGCAATTATTTTTTTATACAGAAAATATTGTGGAGGGCTGTTCCAAAATGCTTAACTCAATTCTCCATCCATCCATTTTCTTTTGCTTATCCAGGGTCAGGTCTCAGGGGCAGCAGTCTGAGCGGGGACTCCCAGACTTCCCTCACCCCAGACACTTCCTCCAGCTCCTCCAGGGGGACCTTGAAGTGTTCCCAGGCCAGTCCAGAGACATAGTCCCTCCAGTGTGTCCTGGGTCTTCCCCGGGGCCTCCTCCCAGTGGGACATGAACACCTCCAGAGGGAGACGCCCAGGAGACATCAGAACAGACGTCCTCCCCTCAGACGCTCCTCTCCACGTGGAGGAGCAGCGACTCTAATCTGAGCTCCTCCTGTGTGACTGAGCTCCTCACTCTGCACCCACACACCCTGTGGAGGAAACTCATTTGTGTCGCTTGTATCAGGATCTGGTCCTTTCGGTCATTACCCAGAGCTCACGACCAGAGGTGAGGGGAGGAACAGAGACTGACGCTAAATCGAGAGTTTCACCTTTCGGCTCAGCTCCTCTTCACCACAACGGTCCGATACAGCGACTGCATCACTGCCGACTCATTTCTGCAGAATATTAATTGTATTTCTTCATAAAAAGCAGTAAATATCATTGTTTAGACGAGCTGCTCTGACTGGGAAGAGTTTATGTTCTTACTAAAGCAATAAAAAAGTGAGGCTGCTTTACAAAAAATGTCATAAAAAACACCTCTAAAATAAAAGCAATGCAGCTTTAGACTTAGACTTTTAGCTTTAAACTTATAAAATATGTTTATTTTGTCATTCCAAATGATCTTAAAGGGGCCGCTCAGAGTCAAATCCGCTCTAGCAGCTCTCGTTCTGATTGGTCCAAACGCTCCAGGCCGTTCACGTTACAGACGTCACACGGGTGGGAGGAGCTCGCCAAGATGGAGGAAGTAAATGTGGAAGAGAACATTTTTTTGGGCCCATGCGTCGTTGAGCACAGACCACAGCGCCGTCTTGGGTTCAACTTCAGATTTGATTCTAGTTCTTTGCTTGGAATGCGCTGAACTCACCCGGTTTTGTGTTTCAGAGCCTCGATCTGATTGGCCGTTCCTTCGCACTTCTTCTCTCACACTGAAAACATCTGACGATGACATGTGGCGATGCAGGAAGTGCTCTACTGTGTTTTTAAAGTCCATACTCCTTCACTAGAATCGTCTGGATCATTTCAGCTCTGGAATCACCAAATCTCTGCTGAGCCAAAGGTAAAAAGAGGTGAAAACTACTGTTGCTGCTTGTTGACGTCAGCAGGTGGAGCAGAGCATTTTGAGCTTTAGACAAATAACAAAGAGTTTCTCCAAAATTAAAAGAAACAAAACACAACTCCAGACATGTATTTGACAAAGAAACATTATAACATGGCATAAGCTCATAAAAGTCATTTGTGTAATATTGGACTTTTAAACAAACATGCGTAAAGTCATTGTTCTGTAGAGAATAAAGCACAAGTGGAAATGCCATTGTGAAAATCTCATTGTGGGATTAGAGTCTCTGCTGTGGGATTAGGAAGGATCACAATATATGACCTTTTTGTTTTAGAGATTTGTTTTTAAATTTTTTTTGTTTTGAAGATTTCACAAACCTGATCAGCCTGTTAAAAACACAAACACATGAGACTGAACCAGGACTGAACCAGGACTTAATCTGACCTTCAGGTTTTGTTCTGTTCACTTCTCTGTCCCTGTAGAACATCAAACTAAGGCCCGCGGGCCGACTCTGGCCCTTCACGCCGCTTTGACCTTGACATTTGCTGACACATATGATGCACAAAGTCTGTAGCATCTCAAATGTCTGTAGCTGTCTCCCACGCTGAGCAGTTTTTGAAATTTTGTTTTTTGTGCTCAGTTTTTAACATCAGAGGGGATTTAAACAACTAAAAAGCAAAACATGAGCAGCCCAAAGGACACACGGAAACAACTGCTGGGTGAAATGAGCTGTTTGTTTTGTTCCTGTATCCATGAAGATCATGGAAGAGGCAAACTAAGACTGAAATGAATCACCATATCAGGAATGATTTGCATCCAGACACTTGTTTCTGTGTCCGTAAATCTTCTCTCTCCACACAGCTTTGAGCACATTTCTTTACATTTTACAGAAAGAAAACTTAAAACCACATGGCTAATTTGCATAAAGTGAGCGCTCAAAAAAACAGTTCGCTATTTTGCGCTGATGCGATTCAGCTTCTGTCGGACTAAAGGACACGACTCAGTGGAATATGAGTGTTCTCTCTGTGACAGAGGGGTGTTCTGCTGATGGTGAGTCTGTTCTGTGTTTCTGTCGTGTTTGGAGATGGTTCATGTGAAACTTTTTCAGAGATTAGACGTGTGCAGGTCGTACACACAGACACACGTTTATATGAATGGACATATTTTATGTTATTTTCAGACCAAGGGTTTGTTTTCATACCTGACAGTTTCGACTGCTCACTAGCGTCTTCCTCAGAGTCTCGTGATGTTGCTGTGTCGTGTCGCTCAGCTGATTTAAACAGGTTTTGGTGCTGTCTTCCTACCAGTGGAGGCAGGACGACAGCGCCACCTGCAGTCCCACTTCCTCAGGACAGTACTCCAGGTGTGTGAGAGTAAAAAAGCCCCTCGTCCCGGTTTATCGTTCCGTGGGCACGTTTCCGTATTTCGATTGCCTCTTTAATCCAGCGACGATGTTTGTTTTCCTCTGTCCCAATGATGTTTGCTCCATCCCAGTCCAGAATGTGGTTCTCTCTTTTACACTGGTCAGAAACGGACGATTTAAGTTGTTTCTGTTCTGCTTTGTGTTTTGTTGCTCGTGTTTCGCCTTCGCTGTTTCCTTCTCACATTCTCTTCTATGTTCCTTTTTTCGTGGACTGAACGCCCTCCCTGTTTCCTCGATGTAAACCCCTGACAAAACTCTAGGTCTGAAAAAAGAACCTAATAACATAAAATATCGGAAGACCAAATGAATCTCATTGGACTAATGGACATACATTCTAGACGCTTAGTGTTTTGTGGGTGAATTACTTCACAGTGCATTGACTTACATCAGGCGTCTACTGCTACCGCTATCTCGTCCTTTCGGTCACTACCCAGAGCTCATGACCAGAGGTGAGAGTAGGAATGAAGATTGACCGGTAAATCAAGAGCTGTCCAAATCCCAAAACTAAAATATGACAATAACAGAACCAGAAACAAAAGTGAAATGGTTCAAAAGACTTGAAAAGATCGACTTTGACAGTAGACACATCCCACTGGGAAAACAAACATGGAGGTTTGATGCTCAATTTTTTTGGAAAATCCTTCCCAGTGTGAATTGCACAATGACCAGAAGTCCGAGATTCTTGATGCGTGTATTGTCTGTCATATTTTTTATTTATCCCTTCTAGGCATCAAAATGACACATTTACAAAGGTAATTGATCAGATTTTAGTTCGTAAGCGCAATACATATAATTCAGAAATCCCTTGGCGAGCTCCTGGTTGGAGATCTCTGTTCTAGAAGGAGTCATTTTAATGTTTTTTGTTTTTTTGTAATAGATTGTCCTTAAATATCAGTAAAACTAAAATCACAGTGTTTAGTCGTTGGGGGGAAAAGCGTCTATCCCACATTATTTATTGGAGATGAGGAAACAGAGAGCACATGAGGTCACATTATTTGGTGTTATGTTACATCTGACATGAAAATCTCCTGAAGATTATGTCGAAATTAAATAAACAAGTCATTTCCGTGTTACATAATGTTAAAGTTTAAGTCACGAATACAGGAAACGGACGTGATCTGTTTTTTCCATTTTTCATTTAAACATAAAATCAAAAACTGAAAAAAAACAAATCATTATCTGTTTTATCATTTTGGGTTTGGAGACAAATAATGAAGAAAATTGTTTTTTTTTTCATTTTCATATTTTTGTTTTTATTTTGAAGATCTCCAAAAACCATTTACATATCCATCCATCCATCCATTTTCGTCTGCTTGTCCGGGGCAGCAGCCTAAGCAGGGACTCCCAGACTTCCTTCACCCCAGACAGGTCCACCAGCTCCTCTGGGGGAAAAGTCGTAATTTTAAAGAAAATGAAATAAAAATGAAATGAAAAAATAAAAAAGTGTTGCAATTAAAAGTGTGAGCTTATTAATGAAACCTTCAAAACGTATTCAGGTGTTTAGAAGAAATGTCAAACATGATGCGCTCAAAAGTATGAAGTCATTGGAAGCGTTAAAGTGTGATGATTCATCTTTCTTGAATGAAACAAAAAGATTGAAAATGAAATGAAAATGAAAGCTGACATTTGCACAGTCTGCGTGTGCCTCCGTCTCTGGTCTCGGGGTGTGTTCTTCTGACTCGCTCTCACACACGTCGCCTGGGGTTTCTGTTTTCTGTAGTCATGGCCCTTCTGTTTACTTCGTGCTTCTTTACACTGCGCGGTCACATGGGGGGTTGTTACCGCGGCGATGCTCCCCCCGCTGCCCCCGCTCACATGTGGCTGTTGTGTGACGGTGCCTTCACTTCTCTCTTCGGTAAAGGGTCATTCTGTCTCATGCTTTAAACTTGAACCTGATTTACATGATGTAGTGACGTGTAGTGACGGTGTAATGAAGGAGTGGTGATGGTGTACTGATGGCGACGGCGTAGTAACGGCGTAGTAACGGTGTAGTGATGGTGTAGTGATGGCGTAGTGACCTTGTAGTGATTGTGACGGTGTTTTGATGCTGTAGTGACAGCGTAGTAACGGTGTAGTGATGCTTTAGTGACAGTGTAGTGATGCTGTAGTGACGTGTAGTGACGCGTAGTGATGTTGTAGTGACGGCGTAGTA